TTATTGTAACAATATTGAAATACACTCAAAATGAATATATTAAACGAACACGATGGATTGGTGGGTCTGTAGCAAAAGTTAGTTCATGTTCGTGGTTTCCTTATTCGAATTATTTTTTTTTTTTTAATTAATTTTAATCTAAATCATTCATTTTATTTTTGATTAAATTTAAGATTTTTTTTACTTTTAATATTTACTTGTGTCAACTGACATGGAATAAGTAAATAAATTGCGTATGTCCCTGATTGTGTTTTAAATATGTCTTTCGCTGGCTCCACTTCCCCCGGGAGAGATTAACAGCTTGCGTCGAATCAGGATGTTTCAAACTCCTTTTAAAAACATTTAGTCTCATTTCAGGCTTATGAAATATGCAAAAAATATGCATAAATCAATATAAACAAATATTTCTCATTGGTTCAAGGCTTAAGCTCACAGTTTTTTTTAATATGTATATGAATTGAATATCTTCTTTATTTTAGTAATCTCTAATCATTAAAATGCTTTGGTCTGGTTTCGTTAATCTGGATTTCCCCAAGCTATTAAATCATTGGCATTATTTTAAAAGTTGACACGCGCAAATATTTTTGAATTAAATTTTTATAAAATGAATGATTTTTAATTGAATTATTTCATTATTCATTTCCTAATTTTTTAAAGTCTTAATCTTTTTAATTTTATGGACTGAATTTAGTCTACATTAAATAAATTGTATATATTTCCAATTCACTTATTTGTTGTTGATTACGCATATAAACTCAAAACAAAATAATATTACTTTTCAACTTTTAATCTCTACAATTTTGTGGATTGCATTTTGTCTAGGTTAAATAAATAAATAAATAATAAAAAAATAAAAAATAAATAGTATACTTTATTTATATTTATCTAGCCATAAATACTCAAATGCTTTTAGTTCATTGGCAACTAGGAAAAAAATAACAATAAACAAAAACTAGTATTTTGTATTGTTTGTTTTATTAAGTTGAAATTCATTTTAGCTTTATTTGCTCCAAATATTTTGAGTTTACTACTTCCTATCATAAAAATGCGGATTCCGATTTGAATCAGATTTCTGCTCAGAAACATTAGGAAATGTGCTTGGCTATTTACAACTGGTCAAATGATAATGATAAATCATGTGCCAGAAAAAATTCAATTGCAAACTGAATTGAAGCTCATTTGTGACTTGCTCATAATTGCGGCTTATCATTTTGATCAATGCAGCTGCAAAAATTCCAGCAAATTTCCATTAATTCTTGGACCTATTTGTACATTATTAGCCCAAGCCGCATCCGGCTGTTGCAAGCAGTTGCGCCTGCAACACGAGTCTCTGTCTATCTCTCTCTTCAATTCTTAACCAGTTGCATTGCATGACTATTTCTGGGAGTCTTCTGACCCAGCAAAGTTATCTGCTGCTAATTGCAATGCAACAACAACTGAACCAATCCAAAATTGCCATCGATTTTTCCTTAGCCGTTTAAACAGCTTTTCCAAATTTGTCAGCGCCGCCTGCAGCTTGGCCATATTTGGTGTAAGACTCGAAAGATTTTTCTTCCAATGAAAATCCATTTCGTCTTTACAAGGGTAGCAAAAACCATTTTGGGTTATTTATTTTATTTATTTACTTTATTTATGTATTATATCGATAAATCGTATGATAGTCAACTCACATTTAGGCGAATCCCTTGTTTTTTTATACCCTTATAGAGGGATCATTGAGAACGGAGTATTATATCATATAGTTTGCAAATAATCAGTTAGTATAAAGATCGTATAACAAAATATTTCTGCTCATCTCATATTTTGAGCAACATTTTTGATTGCAAAATTATTCTAGCCAAGCTCATCAGTGATGCGTGTTGATATTTATTTATTTAATATCCACTTAAATGAGTCGATACACTATGCTCTTAATATTTGAACAAAATACTATCAACATCGAATTACTCTGTAAAATAACTTTCAAAAGAACAATCGGTTATTTGTTGAAATTTATAATTACATTTAAATGTCTGCAGATTGTCTTTGCAGGGTATGCAGCCCTCGACGTTCATAAAATAGGTTTAGTTCTTTCTTGTTTTTAATTCCCAAGCTCCAAAAACTCAAATGTCATCGTTAAAAATTTGATTCGCTTTTTTGTTGTTGCTACGAAAAATGCTTTTACTCAGCAGTTTTTGGTGCGGGCAACCTGTTAATTTTTATTACCCTACATTCGCTTTTGCTTATTGTAATTAGCTGACACGCCGATCTTGTTTGTATTTTTATTATAAGTTAATTGTATACACAATAACTTGATCGATATCCAACCTTCAAATAACACACATCGTATTAATTTCGATTTATGCGAGCACACAGCAGTTTAACTCATGGGGGTATTTTAATATTTGGCAAATTACACACATAGATATAGCTATATGGAGTTCACCGAAAGAGGCGATGTTATTCTCAACTACTGGTTTTGTTTTGCAACTTGAAATATTACAGTTGGGAAACTATGTCCATTGGGGTGTTGGAAAATCAATAGCATCGATATGGGCAAAGCGATCAAATTGCATATCTCGCCCAATTTTAATGTTGAAGTCAAAAAGTTTGGAGGGTTTGGATTGCTGATGACTTTCTTTAAATATTGACATAAGAGTAAATATCAAAGTATTGCAATTGGGTGCTGATGGGTTGTCTATAAAAACCAATTTCTCCCACAATTTAAAAGCTTTCCAGCTTTCCTTCAATATACCTTTATATATTACTAAACTAACAGAGTATCGGCTAGCTAGCACTCCTGCTCTTACATAAATATCTCGAGTTTTGAAATACTTTAAAATATGGCGTATCAGTTTGTTAGCTTAACAGCTTGCTGGGTAAGTGAGTGACCTGTGATAGCCACAAAGAGCTCTTCACACTTTGAGCTAAAAAAAAACTATCAACTTTAAACAACGAATTTATTGTTGGACAAAAATAATCATTACTAATGTTATACAAGAGTATACAAGAGATAACTGTACTGATTAAAAATCACAACAATACACAAAGTAAACAAAGATGTGCGCAAATATATAGTGATGTACAAATTTAGCACTTTGAGTGAGAAATTGGAAATTCGATTAAGATATATTGACGGCTTGTTGGCTGTTGGCTTATTAAATTATAATTACTGTAATCTATAAATAGATTGATATAAGTAACATAAATGACTACAACTACGTTCAATCAACTAAATTCGATATTTGCTCTGAGTGAATCTTTAATGTTTTTTCTTCTTAATTTAAACATTTATTTTCCAATGAATTATCCAAAACGTGCAAGCTGCTGGCGCACTGAAGGCAATCATTTAGCGATTCTGCTACCCACATAGACCCATTCTCTCTCTCTCTCTGTCTCTTTCTCTCTTTCTCTCTCTTTCTCTCTCTCTCTCTCTCTCTCTCCCTCTCTCTCTCTCTCTCTCTCTCTCTTTCGCTGTTAATCTCATTATTTCTAATACAATGGCTCTCTGAGTACTCCAGCATTCTTTCTCTCTCACTCTCTTGCTCTTGCTCTCTGTTTATATGGCTTTAACGATACAATTCTTTGTATGTGTTTTTCTGCTTCTTTTTTAAGTTTGATTAAACCAAATCGTGCCTCGGTGTTTGTGCAGTTGTTGTTTTTGTTCTCGCTATTGTTATTGTTGTTGTAGTTAACCACGGTGTAGGCATTTTCATTCATAGCCAAATGCTTTTCGTTGTTGCTGTCGCTTATTTTTTTTTTATTTTTTTTTTTTTTGTGTACATTTGTATATGTGTTATATTATTATCATTAGCTGGTGTTGTTTGCTTGCTCGCACTCTCTGCTCCCGCTCTGGCTGGCTAGCTGACTGGCCGGCAAGTTCATTAACTTTTGTTTGGAGCAGCCAACAGCAGCAGCAGTAGAAGCATCCAGCAGCGGGATCAACAATTTGTCAAAAATTTTTGTTAGACATGCGATTTTAAAATTATGCTTGTGTTTTGATATTTCAATTTTGCAGCGGTAAAAAAGGTGTTGTCGACTCCTCTCCTCACCTCTCCTCTTCCCTCCTCTGTGCGCGCGCTTCTCTTGGTTATATTAACCTACTTGGATATATAATTTTGTGCTGTTTGTTATATTTGGAGGCGAAATGCGTCCGGTTGCCAAGCAGCGCAACGTTTGTTGAATTCGCTTTTGTACATGTGTAAGCCGTAAGCCGTAAGCCGTAAGCCTTGTTTTATTTTGATTAGCACTCAAAAGTCGATCTCCACCCAAGTTGTGGACGAACTGATTACCTGTTGTGCCGGTTTACTTATTTTGGGGCTACCAGCAGTTCCAGTTCCAGTTCCATTTCAGCAGCGTTTAATAGTGTCTGACGTCAAAATGTCTCTTTCGAAATGACACTGAACGGACAAAAAATTGTACCGGTTTAATAACATTTGTCTTGTCTAGATATCGTATCGACCGACTTTGGCGATTCTATTTCCTTATTGAGGGGGGAGTGTCTTCACCACAGTGTGTAATTTTCAATTTCCTTGAGATTCTTGCCAATCAAAGTAAAATTTGTGCGAAACAAATGTTTATAGTAAATATACAGATTTTATAAGTAGTTTTTGGCGCTTTTATTCACTTGTCTTGCCACAATCATATTAAACAAACAAACAAAAAATATTTTGAGCTATTCGAATTGTGAAATAAGCTAAACATCTGTTGATTTATGTACGTGAATAGTGAATATTTCAATTTATATGCTTTATTCTATGCATTCATTTTTAATTTTATTGAGTGCGTGCATTCAATGAATGAATTTAATATGCATTTATTCACGTGATGCGAAGTTTGCCAAAAAAAGAAGAAGAAAACCAAACCTGTTCCAACTTTTTATGCAAAATAGTTGGAATATCTGCTTCCGTCACGATTTATTTCGGGGCTTGGCTTAAATCACTCAAACGCTCAAGATAATAAAATAATATTGACTTTTTAACTAACTAATGCTGTGTGCATATATTTTCTTCTATTTGCAGGTACGTGTTGCAAGCATTAATTTCTCAACCCCATTAAGCAAGCTCACAACAAATATTTTTGCGTAAGTCTAAACAGAAATATATATTTATTTTTTTGGCCCATAAAACTAGCTTAATAGCCTAGCCCTGCTGCGTGAATCCATTTTCAGGTAGCAATAAATATGTAAAAATTGTATTTCGTTGTCGAACAGATGTTTCTGTAATTAAACATTCATCAATCTGCTCGCTGGCTGGCTAACTAACTCACTTACTGGCTGGCTGCATTAAGTTATCAACAAGTCTTATAATTATTCTTTCATACTCATCTGGGGAAGGGGGAAGGTGAGAGGAGAGCGGAGAGCGGAGAGCAACAAAGAGAGATCGACCTAAATACAGCTAATGATGCTGATCGGCATTTGAGCCCTGCCAATATCAAACTGGAATTAATCACACATCTCACTTTAATTCTGTACTTATCTACAAGTATGGGGTCTACCAATACGAACAAAATAAGAAGTTTCGAAGTCAAAATGCTTTGCAAAACTTGTATTTGCCATTTACAATTTAAATAAGATACCAGCAGCCGTGGCAATATTGGTTATTGGAAGTTGGAAATACATTCCAGAGATTCAGGAGAGATTTATCAAGCAATATTAAATCACATGATCTTGGTGTAATTGCCACTTAGAAGTGGAGTCGCCGCTAGCAATAATCGAGTCACGGAACTGGTTGTGCAACCAACAACTATGGGGCATGTTGCGCTTCAGTTCTTGTGCCAATCGAATCTTGCGGTATTCTTCTCTCTGCGAAATATCGCAAATTTTTTTTTAAAACTAGTTTTGGTTTGTTTTTATCTTTGTCGACTTATAAAGGTGGAATAAAAATAAATATAAAAAAATACTTCAAACTTATATATTACTATTCATAAAAAATGATGTGTTGTATACATATGCTTAAATTGGCACTCCATTAGCAGATAGTGGTCTTTATCAAAATATATTTTCAGTTCAGTGAACTCATGCCCAAATCGATTCTGAAAAGAACGCAAAAAGAATAATCTATCTCGAATTTTGATAGTACGATCGAATGAGTTTCAGAGGTTGCGCAAGATTGAAATTGTTCATAATGAAATGATAAACCTTTTCGAATACTCTGCAATCAATTCAGAGCCCTCTATTTCTATGGTTATTTTTGTATGCATTTGTGGTTGGGGGTCTAAAGTAAGTCTTTCACTAACTCTCCCCTAAGGAACTCTTTTACTAACACTCTTTAATCGTATGTCTGATTGGGCCTTCTCCAATTCATGCCACAAATGTTGGACCAGTTTTGCAGTTTTGCAAACCCTACATAAATTTTAGAAACATTTTTTAATTCAAATTTAAAAATTGTAAATGTTGTCTTTGTATCTTTTATTTGAATAGAATTTGAATGAAATAATAACTAATTAAAATATATATTGATAGAAATAAAAGTAATAAAATGACAGCAGACTATCTTTAAAAATATATATGGCTTGTAGACATGTCTTTAAATTTGCACTCCATTAGCAGACAGTGGTCCGCGTCACAGAATAATATTGTAGTAGACTAGTTTTCAGTTTTCAGTTCAGTGAACCTCAAGCTCAATTCAATTCTAGGCCATTCAGTCAATTTGAACAGCTATCGGGCCTAAAAATAATAACTAGTTGCTGTAGCTACTAACAATTTCCGTTAAACGCGTTCGACTCGATGCCACTTGTAAAAATGCTGCTGCTGTCAAGGAAGTCGCCTATTTTCAGTTATCCGCCCTCCCTTTCTCTCTCTCTGTCTCTGTTTTTTATTTAGTCTATTTTTAATTCAATCAGTGGACTGCCCTTAGCTGTGTGGTCTGCCATTTGAAAGCGTATAAATTGTATCTGCAGCAAATAAAAAAAAAATAAAACTATGAAACGTTGATAAGGCTTTAGAGTAACGCAAAATTCATCTGGTGACTTTCTTTTCAGCACACAGCTGAGCAAAGTAAGTCGAATACAATGGCAAAGAGCAGAAACTAGTTTTCGATATTTTCCAATAGTTACTGCAACATACTTGGGCCAAAAAAAACTTTTCCTACTGTGCCTCTGCGGTTTCTGTGCAACACCAGCATCATCATCAGCACGGACCAAGACCAGGCAAACTCTCGTATCATTGTCAGTCAGTCTGTCAGTCTAAAAGTTTTCCATCATAATCTACTTAACTTTTGCTGCAATCAATTGCAGCCTTGTGTTGCAGTTGTTGTTGTTGTTGTTGCATGTGTCGCCTCATTGCATTTGAGTTGCACAGCCTCTTCTCAGACTGTGGCTCTGCGGCTGCTTTCGTTCTGCTCGCAACCCATATTTATGCAATCTCTTTGTGTATAGATACAGATACAATAGTCAAGAGCCCAGAGTGATACTGATTCTTTCTGCGTTAATAGAAAAGTTGTCAATGTTTTTCAGTTGATGCTGCGAAAGCGGATGCGAATGCGAGTTCTGGTATTTTCTACATATATATATATATATATATATATATATATAAATGTTTATATATTTCGCATGGAAGAAGAGGAAAAGATGTTGCATCTTGTCTGTCAGCTTGCCGTTTGCATAGATTTAACTGTCAGTCCGTCCAGCTGCCAAGTTGTACCACTGTCAATCAGCTACAGCAACAGACTTCAATACGAGTTTTGCTTTTCTATTTTCTAAACCAGACACACTCACAATACACACACAGAGAGACAATCTCAAATACAGCAATACAGATACAATATCTTATGGATGCATTGAAGCGTAATTGCACTTGCCTCTCAAATCTCTTTCTCGCTTGTTCGCTGGCTCTCTCTTTTTTTCTTGTTTTTTTTTTTTTTTGTTTAGTTGTGTCTTTATCTCAGATTTTTGCTCTCATCGAGCTCATTTTAACTGTGTGTATGTTTATATATATATATATATATATATATATATATATGTATATGCTTATGTAGATACATACAGTTGCGAAAAAAATAATAGCACCACTCTCGCAAGAAAATTTTCCAAATCTGTCTATTACATTTGTCAGTTTGAGGAACTTGTTAATACGTTTTCTGGAGTGGTTGAAGTCTTACAAATAGTGAGAAAGAATAAAAATTATTTTTTATATATAATTATATATTTAAAAAAAGTAAAAAATTACATTTGATGAAAAACGAAGAGAATGAACCAAAAAATAGCGTCACTTCTCAAATGTGAATTTAAAATATGAAAACTAGAAATAAACCATCGATTTCTACAAAGTGCGTAAGTGGAGCTATTATTATTATATATATTGAAAAGAATTCTAGGAACAGTACTAACCTCAATTTATATGGTGCATACTAAAATCCTATTCAAAATCCATATTTGAAAAATTAGTTTTTTCATTCCTCAGGAAAAATATCGTAGTGGTGCTATTATCGTTTTTCGCAACTTTGTAGGTCGTTGAAAGTGCAGCGAACATTCTTTTCCGTTTGAAATGAATCTTGCTGTACTCTGAGTAACTTTTAAGCTCAAGTTGTAAGTAAATATTAATTAGCATTGCCTTTTCTTTAAATTTAAGTGCTGCAAGCTTCACAGTTCATATTTCATTATGACTCAACATTGTTTTGATTTATTTCCTAAACATCGTCGATATACACTCTCAATGTGCAACTTGTTTATTTTTGTAGTGCATTTACGAGTTCATTTTTAGTCAAGCTTAGCTTGAATTGGGGCTGAGCTATTGTAGCTTGGGTTATGCCTCGATGTTTTTGTTTTTTGTTTTTTTTTTTTTTTGCTGAGGCGTGGGACGAAGTGACCCGCTTTGCACTCACCTATTTGGCTATGTGTGTATATAGATATTTATCCGTATATGCAGCTGTAAATCTATGTGTGTGCTTTGCACATCTCGTTTCTTCAAATTGGCAAATGCTCTCTCTCGCTCTCCCTGTTTCTCTCGCTCTCTCTGTCTGTCTCTCTTGTTCGTTGGATGTATCTCAAAGTGTATACGTTGAGATTTAGTATTGTGTTTGAGACTTTGTCGTTTGCTTTGCTGCTTCAGCTAATTGTTTTGTATAGTCATCGTCATATCGAGAGCTGGTGAATATAACTCTATGTGTCTCTCTTGTGCACATAATCGTAATTGATAGTTTGACTTTTACACACAGACACACACACACGCAAATCGAGTACAATGTGCATAAGTTAAGGGCTTGTTTACGTGTCGCTGTTATTGATGCTGTTTGCTGTTTGTTGTTGCCTTTTGTAATTTGATACTTAAAATGTGGCAGGCCAAGCCAAGACCTTCCTGCAAAATATACACATACATTTGGATATGCATATGGATGTAACTGTGTGTGAGTGGTTTGAACTCTGATATTTTTGGTATTATAGGGCAAAGCCAGTTCAATGGAGGTAATGCGCATACGTATACGTAATATCCGCCTTACATTACTCATACGTCAAGTGATATCAACTACCAAATACGAAATACGAAATTATGCGCATCTCAAATAAGTGTAAATTTGTCCAAAAGTACGTGAAAAGTTCATCGTGCGTTTTTGTTGTTGTTGTTGTCTTTGCTTGTTTCTATCGTTAACTCAATCAAATGTGTTTCACTTTTCTTCTCTCTCTCTCTCTATCTGTTTCTGTGTGTGTGCGAGCGAGTGTGCACCAGGAGCAGCAGCAGCGACGTCGCAGTCGACAGCTGCGTTGGCAGATTGCGTGTGCTTTTCGTTTCGTCGGCTACTTATTTTTTTTTTCTGTTCTGTTTTTTGCTGCTTCGTTCGGTTTTTTTTGCCTTTGCATTTTGCGTGTATCAAGCGTTCATTGCCTCTGCTCTGCGCCTCTGTTTTACAGCTGTGCTTCTTCTTCGGTTGCATTTTAATTTTGTTTTATTTTTAACGCGTCGCATACAAATGTTTAATCGCTTATTTGTGTGCTTTGATTCGCTTGGCATTTTGTGTTTGTGTTTTTTTTTTGCGTGAAATGATTTGCCCGCTTTTTCTTTCTATCTCTTCTTTGCGTGGGCGATTGAACTGTGAACTCTGGATCAGCTGTATGTGTGTGTTTGTGTGTGTGTATCTGTGAATCAAG